CCCTACAACCTAGAGGAACACGGAAGAAATGGAGGAAACCAAGCAAGGTAAGAGGGAAAACTCACAGTGGAATTGTGGCAGATGATCTTCTCCAGGGTGTGTCTGAGCTCGAGCAAACCCTTGGCAGCGGAAGTGGACAAATCACAGCCCCGGAGCTCCAAGATCTTAAGCCTACCAAAAGGAAGAAGGGAGAGAGGCGTGGGATCACGCATAGGCGGAGGAAGCGTGGAAACGACCTTCAGGGAAGTGAGGAGGCGAAGGATACGGCGGAGCTGTTCGAGGGCACGGAAGTCGCCGAGGTCGGAGACGTAGGCGCGGAGGTAGTCGACGGGAGCACCAGAGAGCATGCGCTCGAGTTCATGGAGAGCCTCAAGGCGGAGATGAACGTAGTGAAGTCCCGCGGGGTTGAGCTTGAGAACCTTGGTCTCTTCGATGAGAGACTCGGCTTGCTCTTCGAGGAACTGCACCAGTTTATCCAGATAGCGATCTCCCGTCACGATCGCCATGGAAACGGATCGAATTAGGGATTTGAGTAATTTCCGATGAAGGAGAAGGGGAAGAGAGAGAGAGAATCTAGAGAGAGAAAGGGGGAAGGGGAGGGGCAAAGAGAGAAACCGCCATGGGTGATGGATGATGCGGAGAAGGGGAAGAGGAGGAAGGGGAAATTCCGAATGATTGGGACGACGGAGGGCAAAATAGTAAATAAGAGGGGGAGTTAACAACAGGGTGTGTATATGTCTTTTTTTAAATAATCTGACCGAAACAGAAATGACCACCTGGCCTCCATGCCCCCTTCTGTCCCCGCGGAATATTTTGCATTTTCAGATCCCAAAGTCTTAATATTTTGACTTTTATTTAATTAATTCACAAACAAACAAATTATTCAATTTATACACGCAGATAATCTGCAAGTATGAACAATTATGAAAAAAATAAGAAACCATAAAGCGATTTCTTTTTTTGGTAGAATATAACCATTCCCCCTCACAAAATGAAAGTTGTCTTATTGTTTTTCTTGCAAACAATTGAAATCGGATGGTTTCAAGATATTTTTTTTAGTATATTTGCACAGCTTTCTTTTCTTGCATGAATGAGAAGTTAAAACCATTTTTTTTAAGAAAAAAATATTTTTAGAATCGAAATTTGTAAAGTTCAACCGGTAAAATGAAAACAAAACATCTATCCCACTTCGAATTCGAACCTCAAATTTGGAGAGGGAGCGTATAATCCAAATCACATGATTGGTTTCTGACTCCGTAATTGATCTGTGCCTTGATCTAGGATATCCAGGATATCCGGTTACCAAAAAAAAAAAATCTTTTTGGGCTTTGGCAAGAAAGAGAATGCAAAGCCAAAATGACGAAATGAATCAAACACAAACAATGAAAACATTTTACAAAAGAAATCAACCATCCATACATTCTCTGTCCAAAAAAACACATTTGAGAGTGGAGATTGAAATCACTTGGTTTCTTGTATTGATTCAAAGCTATGTTTGGAACTCGAGCTCTATGAATCTCTTCACAATCACACGGGGGATTAGAAGATAGACATGCATGAGACTCTTACTACGACGTCCTGTAAATTTGGGTTTCCTTCAACACAATTGGTACGGAAGAGGAATGCCCTCAAATATCCAAACATATTCTGTTACTGTGGCTCATCGGATATCATAATAATAGCAACATGACAATCTATCTACCCAGCCTGAACCATCCAATTAAAAGAAAAAAGCACACGTCACGAGGAAATCAAGTCATATCTATGCGTAAAAAAAAAACTATCAGCCAACGCTCAAATCCTAAAGGGAAAATGGGATACTATGACAAACCCGCATGACTGCTAACACAAACAACGAGACTCTGTTAAATTATTTCATTGGACTGCACACTGCTGTGGTAAAGGCACTGCTTTTACAAGCCTCTGGATATATAATAGCCCAAATATAAGTCTCATACAGGACTTGTGCTAGGCACTCATAATCGGCCTATGATTTGGTACTACACTCTTCCTTGCAACAGATATGTCGAGGATACCCAGATTCCACCCAAGAAATTCAAGCTAGAGACACTACAGAACACGGAGTTATAGAAAACGGGAATTATCCATGATTCAAAATAAGCTAGAGGGAAGAACCGGACCTTTTTCTTGGCATCTGATCATCTGCGCCATCGAGGACGAAGGTAAAGGCCCTGGTTAAGAACAACAACAGTTTTGACCATTTCTCGCCCTCTGCAGAACAATTTTTTTTCCGACAAATAGAGCAGGGCTTTCGAAAAAAGGCATCAGGCTAAGCATTTCAAAGCGTGAACAGAGACAGTGCAGAAGAAATACCTTGAGCAGCAGAGTAGGAGGTTGGCATGAAGCAGAGCAACCTCGTTAGGGTTTTACACAATGCCATAATCAGAAAGAGCTTGCTTTGTCTCCACCGCCAAATGGTTTGCGAGGGAAGTTCTGCTGCAGTATGGTGCTCCTAAGCTTCGGTGTTAAACAATTATATTAAAGAATACACCACCAAACATATCAAACTAAACTATGTTCACATATCTGAGTGAAATCTCAAATCCCAAAAGCTGCATTTACTAGTCCGACATTCCATTTTCAACATTCGAATAATGTTTGAGAAGAAGAAATGAAAAAATCAAATGAGAAAATACAACACACACTTCCTCAAACCCCGAAACATGGAAACGCTAATCCATCCAATAAAAACAAACTCCCTCAGAGTGCAAATACATGTATATGGGTGTGGGCCCGTGGCTCTGTGTTAAACAAAGACTTGAAGCTGAGTGTTAGATATGCCCTCCTACATGATCCCCGTGGAAATGCTCGACTTGGCATTTATCTTCAACGACTGCTCCGGAACATACCTACGACCTGTGTTACACCCCCACCCCCCCTTTTGCATTATTAGTAAGTTTGTCGAATTCTTTCAATTACAAAACCTATGGATCCAAGATTAAGCCTTATATGACCCGTGATTGTTGTACCACAAAGCGAACACACCGAGAAATTAGACAGAATTGACTGACCTTTCTCCTTGACGTGGATCTGGAGAGTATCCAGAGTGATTATTCCATCTGTCAATGGAAGCAGTTCCATCTTGATTGTCGCTGTAGATTGCGATGGAACACATCTGATACATTTGGAAAGTAAAATCCTGTTATTATTTATACAACATCCAACCCAAAAACCCAGAAGAAATAATCATTATACGATAATTTCACCCCAAGGGAACTCGGCTTTGAAGCCAAAGATGTGTGCAGCCCAATCCGCTCTTTGGGACTACATCTGATGGATTTGAAGGTCGCTCGTTGAAAGAAGCAGACCTGCCCTCACTGTCTATGCTCGCTGTCTGCGCCTTCAGTGCAATAGGGGGTAATGAGTTCAGTTTACGCATCATTGAGCCGCGTTTCTCGCTTTGTACTCTCTCCGTGAACTCAGAGAAACCCAAGAACGGACTGACAGGGGATGTAGGCGTGGAGTTCAGCGACACCACGGATGGAGGTGATGCAAAAGAAGTAGGGGCTAGAACAGTCAAAGACAAATCTTCTGATGACAAATTTGATGCCTGAAGAGTTAGGACCTGAAACCATTACAGCAGAAATATGTGTAGTACATCATCAAAAAATATGATCAAGCGCCATTGGTTACAGATGGCTGAAACTGATTTCAACTTGAAGATTGGAACATTTGAAGGTAACTGGCTAGCAATTCCGAAGAACAGATTATGAGATTTACCAACGATCTGTACGGCAGTTGAGTGCCAAAATTTCCATACATTTTTCATTTGGTTCCAAGTCGTACATTGTCACTTTATGTCAGTAGGCCACATAGAGAGAGAGAGAGAGAAGACCTGAACAGGAAGCTGAGAGGCTCTTCCATGGGGCCCACAAGGCTCTCCTGACATTTCAGACGCAACAGAGATCATCAGATCCCTCGGAGCACGTGGTCTCCAGTCCGTCCGCTGTTTGAAGAACAATCTCGATTCTGCAACCAAACAACAACCGCAATAAAGAAAAAGTGATGTGTTTATCACTGAAAAAACGCAAAGAAACTTAAAGGCATGAAAATGGGGTCATACCTGTGTAGTTGCACCGGCACGACACCAGAATCGCATACTGATCATCATTTAAACCGCTTTTTTTTCTTTCAAAATTCACAGATCGAAGAGACAAACTCGACACCGGCAGTTTTTTCCTATCACTTGAGGGCATAAGATTATTCCTCGCAGAAGAAGTAGGCTTCACTATGAATGAGTGCTCTTCACCTGTCCTGAATTTGCAGAAATGCCAAGGATTGGTCAGAGCCATTCGGACAGTACGGAGCAATCAGTTTCAGTTATTATATGTTACAGACAACTCATTCGCCGCATATTACTCTTCAAAGTTCATTGGAATTGATTACTAGTTCTAGGAATCACCACAAGCCAGTGCAGTACTTCATCTAGTCAGGGCATTGACTTTGTAATTTCAATAAGGCACTAACAATATGACTCACCAACAGCCATGCTTAACTGCATAATCCTTAGGAACACGTTTCCAAAAACAGCGGTGAGGAAGAAACAAGCTGATAATAACGAAATAATGACAAGGAATTAGGGAAAAATAAACTGACCTGAGAGTTAAATTCGGTAAACTGTGGTCATTTCCAGCTTCAATACATGCAATTGGTACAGCCGAAGGAGTGGCGCTTTTCCCTGCCTCCTCGAAAACAATGCTTATGGCATCCACATATATTACAATATCCGGGTTATGTGCCGGGGCCACATTCTGCCAACACAAAATGGAAAATTGATATATAAACCAGAAACCAATCAACATCAGAGATGCTAAAGTCAAAATGAGCTCGTGAATATTACAAGACGAACCTTTATCTGAACACAAAGAAGATCATCTGTGTTGCAGTCAGCAGTAAACGAATGTATTTGAACCGGTTGAATTATCTCGAGTTTCCTCCTCCACCTCCTTCCTGGAATGCAGATGCCCTCGAGTCCACAACGAACAGAGAACCTATCCCGCTCCAGTGCCACACTCCGGAAAGATAAAAGCTCTTCTGTGCCTGACTTCTGACCCTTCAGTAGCTTATGAGCTGAGTGACTATCCCAATCTCCAATTTCAAATGATGGTTTAGAAGTCTGGGCTTTTATGGGTCCAGGCGCAGGTACAGTATTTGGAGGAAGGGAGGACATCGAGTAGCTTCTAAAATGGCCGAATGAGAAGAGTTGAGAACCAGAGGTAGCAGAGATGGCCGACCTGTGTGATGTGCTGCTGATACCTGGGCTAGAGCTCAAAGAAGGTGATAAAGAACTGGATGGTTGAGGAATAGTATTGTCCAAGGGTATCAACCACTTTAACAAATCCCCATATGGATCCTTATCTCCATTATCCGTGTTATTATAGCTCTCAGGAGGTTGGTCTCTGTTCCAGTGCTTCTCAAATTGCAGTATTTCCATGACCGGGTCATTTGGAGAATCGGCAACATTAACTTGTAACGACACCTGCATCCTTCCAAATAAAGGCATTGCTTGAGAATCAAAATTTAAATGATAGTGGGCCTCATTTTGCTTATTTAAAGTCTAAAACTCGGGAATCTTAACAGAGTAGGAAAAAAAAAAAAGAGAATTCATATTAACAATATATCAGAGAAGGTCGGTCAGCTACATTGCATGGTCGCTAAATGTGATTCCAAACAATATGCCCCCAACTATACAGGGAGACCGCAACTAAAGTCAGAGGATATTTTTTGCTGGTATGTATATTATGTCAAACAGACAAGAGGCATGCCTAAATATAAACAAAATTGGTACAATAACATACAACACAACCAGCTCGACATGTAAGGAAAAAAGGATGTTGCCTAACCGACTCATCGAGAAAAGAAAGAGAAAAGAAGGAGAAGTGGTGTATCACATACCACTATATCTCCATTGGGTAAGGCACAGCACTTTGCGGAGCTCCTAGCTACACCTCCAGCAGCATTAGGGTCAAACTCTCCTCTATCTATAAAGGCACTAACACAAGGTCTTCCTTTCCCACTTTTGCCCGTTTCATCTGTCTCTGGACCTGTTCCGAGAGAGCTTTTCTTTGACCAAAGTGGCTCGCCAGACTCTGCAATCCTAACAAAGAAATGGGAATTCTGAAACCTGCGCAACAGTTCTTCTGTCTGTCTCATATGATCTTCCATCCTCAAAATTGATTCACCGTTAGTTACATCCTTCCGCGAATCCAAACTCTCTTTACCAGGGTTTTCACCATTCTGAGTCGCAAATTCACCATCGAGACTCATTTCTTCATCCCCAAATTCAGACATGTGTCCATTTTGTCTGTCGGAGAACTTCCTCTGTCCACTTCTGCTCATTACCTCGGCAACTTTAAAGGGAGTGATAATCTCTGTTTCTCCTTTACTAGCAGATAAGCATGCCAGGACTTGGACTTGTTCGCCTAACACAGGAGAAATTTTGTTGATGAAGAGTAATCCGTGATAACTAAAAACCAAGGAATAGATCACGTAGAAAGCAACATACCAGGAAATACAAAGGAGCGATCCAGGGGCAGTAATGAATGAATATCAGCCGCATCAGCCCAGTTTTCGGGGATTTCCTCTGCCATAAGATGCCATGCATGGCATATAAATGATGATATCAAAAGACGGATACAGTGCCTATTTTGACAGAAAAAACAGAAGATTGAAGCAAAGAGGGGAAGCTATACTGTATGGAATGGCTATCCATCCTTCTTCCTCAGACACATCTGAGAACCTATCCATGACAGGGCCACAGATCTGTGCACTTGAATCTCCGGTGCCATTATCGTCACCAGTCACACGATCGTGATCTTCCACCGGCGGATAGTGCGGAAATGACTCTTCGGCTATCAGACCCTCAAGAGTGGCAGCAGGCCTTGTTGTCTCAGCCGGTGGCTCAGGAGCAGCATTGACGGGCTCTATCACCGGCTGATGAGTAGCACTTGAAGCAGATCGAAGCAAGAAATTCATTCCTCAGAAGCTATCTGCAGAAAAAACACCCAAAAAGTCGATCTCAGAACCCATTCCTAACTCATCTTGAGGATAACAATATGAACAGAATTTCTTCAATCCTACGTTCCGAACCACTGAAACATCTACCCACAAAATCCTACCAGATTCGTCAACAGTCTCGCGTATTCTAACCAAAGGAATCACGGAACCCAACAACAGACCGGAGAAAACGAAATCGAGAACGAAGCCGATCCAGATCAAACAAACACAAAATCTACAGATTGGAAGAAGAGACAGCTTAAAAAACGAGAGAGAAGACAGCCAAACGACACGGGAGCACGAATTCTAGAACCAAAAGGCAGAAAAACGAAGACAGTGAAGAAGAACCAAGAAACTTCTGATCGTGGAATCCTGAGGGAGCAAAGTCGATATGCGAAAGGACAGATGTAGCAGGGAAAGATGTGTAGACGAAGAAGAAGAAGAAGAAGAAGGATGAGTTTACAGGATGAGATCGAGCATGCTAGACTTTCCGGCGATACGTCGTCTTCTCCATACGAAAATCCGAATCAGAGCCTTTTTTTTTTCCCTGAAGAAACAAATGGAGAAAAAGGCCCATTTCATATCAAATCATAAGAAAAAAGCCCAAATATAAGATGATGAAAAAGCCCAATAAAAGAAGGCCCATTTATATATGTACACCACCAACCCCACATTACCAATTAGGGTTTCTCAGCTTCCCCTTGGATTCGACATTGTATATATACATATACACGCAGACGCATATGGTAAAGCCATGGATATCTCTCTCAATCTCTCTGTTTGTTTTGTTTGTGTGTGCGTGTGTGTAATGGTGAAAAAAAGGCAAAAACGTCACCGATGCGCCTGAGGAAGAGAGTGGTGCAATCGGTCCTTTTAGTTGCCGAAATCAAAACAAGGAACGAGCTCTCTATGCTTTCATCTGCCGCTTTTCTCTCCTTCGGCTTTTGAATTCAGTTGCTCGTACACTTTCTTCCGTTTTCCCAATGAATCCGTCCAAAAAAGAAACACAAGTGATTTCGGAATTAGGGTTTTTTAAGGAGGGGGCCAAGCAGAAGATGGAGCATGTCTTTAGCCTCATCTCCTGCGACGCCCTCCTCTGCTGCCTCCATTGCTGTCGTCTCTGAGTTCTCCCGTCTTCTCCTCTGCTCATCTTCCTCTCTTACGTACTGTTTTTGTTATTCAAAAAATTAAAAACTCGATCACCAAACGCAATACTATTATTAGTAGGTGATAATATTAAGGCTGCACACAGACCTCATTGGCGAAGAAGAGAAGATCGTCGACAGTCAGATCCTCTTCTTCTCCTCCTCCTCCTCCGCCTTTGTTTCTACGCTTGGAATCTTTTCTGGCTTCCGCTTTCTCTCTTTTTCTCGGCCGCTTCTCCTCCTTGAGGTTCTCCTCCTCATCCGTGCGGTTCCGGCAGTTCTCCTCCTTCGCTCCGCCGTGCATCCACGCCGGTAACCGCCGCGTATTCCCCCTCTCTCCCATTCCTTGCAAATTAAAAATCGATTCAGCGGATTGATTTCGCAGTTTCCAGAAATTCAAAATCAGTCAATTCCTAGAAAGCAAGGATTTCCGAAAGAGGCTTGCGGTGTTGGGCATCAAAACTGGGCCTCTCATGAGATTCCATTAAAGCCCGTTTCTCACTGCACCAAATATTTAAAATTATCTTCTTCATCATAATTAGTTGTTTTTTTAATTAAGCTTATAAATACCTTTAAAACAAAAATTAATTAATTAATCAATCCACCATGAAACCCAAACTATTGTGGCGTTTGAACATGCTTAAAACACCTATTACGAATATATAGTTCAAGCTGCATGCAAAAGGATTGTACTCCAAATTTCTCACGGGTGGAGATTCGATTTTGTTATATGTAAACCCAACCCATTTAAACCTAATAATGTGTATTTTACTCAATTTCTCATATATACCACCAAAAACAGTAATTTTTTTTTAAAATTTTATATAATTTTTTCGTTTAAAAAGTCTGAAATATCTTTTTTTTTATATATTTTTTAATACTTTTATTGCGAAATTGAAGATCTTAAAAAAATATATAATTATTTTTTAAATTTGATATAATTTTTGTCCCCTCATTTCATTTCGAATCAATTGCAACTAATTAATTGTGATGTCGCAATTACAATTTTTTTTAATGGACAAATTAGACGGTTTCATTAAGGGTAATATGATCTTTTCAAAGAGAATTTAACGTGTTATGGTGTATTTGTGAAATTACTGCAACCTGACCCAAGTGGATTCATGAAAATGTCTCCTAATAATACAATTTGAAAATCGAGTTATTAAAATCTTTTTAAAATCAAATTCAAACCAATCCAAATCAAATCAAATATAAAAAAAAATAAACGAAAAAATAAAAAAACCGAAACCGAAATATGAACTGGAAACCCAAATATGTCTACCCTCTGAACTAAATTAGGAGCCGAGACGCAGCGCGTAAACGAGCAAGAAGAAGAATCAGTCGTCATCGGAGGAGGAGGAATGGAGAGAGAGCATCCTCTGGAGAGTGGTTGGGTCGGCGCCGACAAACTTGTCAAGCAGTTTGCCGTGTTTGAGTAGGAAGAAGGTGGGAACGGCGCTTATGTTCCAGGGAGACGAAGCTGCCACGTCAGTCGCCTCATCTATGTCCACTTTCAAGAACGCCACTCTCGGGTTCTCAGCTGCCATTTTCGTGTATACAGGGCCCATGTACCTGCATGGCCCGCACCATTTCGCTGTGAAGTACACCATCACCATCCTCTCCTTCATCTTCCCCTCTAGCTCCCTCCCTGATTCGACGCTTATCACTTTCCCTGCCATTTTCTCCTCAGCATTTTACAATATACAAAAAATTATTACATGGAATGTTTAGTTACCGTCTTTAAGAGCTCCGGCCTTCCGGAGTTCCCTTTGTTTCCTCAAGCGTTCATATTTCCTGCGGTGTTCTCCTATTCTCTTTGCATTAGGCTCAACCTGTACGGTCGTCTATATATGTTATAAGCAAATTCTGGGTAGCATTCAAAACAAAGACAATAGGCTCATCCACACCACCTTCTTAAGCATCGACCCTATCTCTTCCTCATAATCTAGTTTGGATGCTTGATGAAGATCCACTGCAGCCTCTTCCCACTGTCCTAACATGGCTCTAGCCAACCCTCGTGCTTTATACCCCTTTGCCGAGTCAGGTTTGAACTACAGCCTCAGAAACAAATTGTAGATTTTACATGAGAAGTGAGAACAAAAAACATTCTTTAACTTACAGCACAAGAGAATGCTAACCTGTAAAGCTGCATCGGCATCACGGATTGCAGCGTTTGGCTTCTTCATCTTCAGAAACACGCCAGCTGAGAAATAACATTTCCACGTATTCAGAACAATTATGACATTGGAAAAGCTAAACAACGCAAAAAAAAAAGTGAAAATAGAGATAAAGATCAAACTCGCCTCTAGTTGCATATAGAATTGCTGAAGTTGGGTTTAACACAATGGCTCTAGTTAGATGATCTATGGCCTCAGAAAACTTCCCTGGGAATATCAATCAAAGTATCAGAGAAACCACGAGGAGGATCATTAAACTGAGAGACCCATGTATGAGTGTGTGTATACCTTCAGAGATAGCATCCAGAGCCTTGCTCTTTTCTGACTGAGCAGCATCCCGATTTTCATCGGTTACTTCAACTGTAGGATCTCCCATCTGAGAAGGAAATAAAAAGGTCAAAACAGAGAAGCACACAAGAGACCAAAGAACAAGAGCATGCCATGACTGCCTACCAGTTGAGGGGCATCCTCTTCTGGCTCTACAACGTCGGAGTTGTCCAGCTCGATATCAGATTCAACAATCTCATCATCATGTTCAGCGGAAAAACTGGTTTTTGCTTCAGCCATATCTTCCTGCGATTTTGATTCATCGCTAAATATAACATACGAACGCACCAGTGAGTGATCAAAGAATACAATGGTTGCCCTTTCATGAGCTATAAAAGGTGACACTAAATTTTCGATCGGCTTACACAACAACCACGGTAGAATATTAACAAGATAATTCCAGAAGCCTGAATACCGAACAGATAAACCATTTATGCCAGAGTTTATATCCATAGCTAAGTAATCAAGGGTGTAGCCATATATAACCTCTGATTCGTTCCACCCACCAAATAACCTGAATGTCTGTACAACGGGGGAAGTGACCAACCTAGGAAACCGTCTGCAGACAGCAAGACCGAGTGAAAAGTAAAACCCAGTAATCCACTGATCCAGTAAAAACAGAACCATTGAAGGAACCCTCGAATGAGTTTGTGCCGTAAATTAGGTCAACGGATAGTGAAATTATTCTGATAACAGGATCCAAGTGGGAAGGGTTGAATGCTGAGACAGGACACTTGTGAATCCCGGTGAGGAACCAACCGTGTCTCTAGGACAACGAGCAAAGAAATCGAGCTTAAACTAGACTTCACAATGGGAGACCTGATCGATTTTGACGATGTTCCAAAATAACAAAGGATCCGAGTTATAAAGCAAAACAGAAACGTAAGAGTAAGCGCAACTCACTGACTTCTCTTTCTTGGGAACTCGAGCTCCCAAACTGTACGGAACGTAGGAGCGATCGCCGATTAGAAACCGACAACGAATTGAGTTGTCTATACGTGAACGAAATACAAAAAAAAAAAGGTAAAAGATAATCCACCTGCGGAGATAATCCTTGAAGAAGTCGAGACAAGGATCGTCGAGAAACGAGGGATTGGATTTCAACTGCTGGACGAATTTCCTCAGCTCCGAGACTTGATTAGCATCCATCGAGCAAGAACTTCCTTTTTTCCTTTGAAACTCCCAGAAGAAAATACGCAGAAGCAGCGATGACACTCGTGTCGGCTCCCTCCCTCCCCAACCGGGGAAATCAAATCCTACTATCGAACGGTCAGGATACGCGAGAGCACGGTGATCCAGGAGCGCCTCGCCGTATCTTAGTGTCACCACCCCGGACGCAAAACGGACTGCGTTTGGGTTTGGGCCGTTTGGGCTCGTTTGTATTTGTGGAGACAGAAAAATTCTGGTTATCAAAATGCTTCACCGACAAATAAATAAATAATAAAAATATATTTACAAATAAAAATAATATTAAAAATGTTAAAATAACTAAAAAATGAAAGAAAAAAAACGAGATGGTCGCGAATCCGTTTGTGGACCACAGCCGTCGCGAATAAAAAGCAAAAAAAGAGTGTTATATTTTTAAAGTTATTTATAAAATTTAATATTTTTTTATGAAAAATGACCCATTATAATTCGGCGTCTACTTCTCCTTTTTGTACTTTTACGAATATTTCTCTTTTTCTACGTGACAATGTGATCTAACAAATCAAATAAACAAAGAAAAGAAAATTTCGTCATGTCTTTTAAATGTTTTTTTATCTTTTTGTAATGACATATTTTTGTTAGATTCTTTATATTTTATACATACATTATTGTTAGCCGATAATAAAAAAAATTGGTCCGCGAGAATTGTTTATTAGAGGTGGTCATTTTGTTTTTGAATTTCGGTTCGTTTCCGATAAAAAAAATTATTTTTTCAAAGAAATTATCAGTTTTTTCGGTTGTTTTTTTTGTTTGATTCTGTTTCGATTTTTTCAGATTTAAAGAAATTATAACCATTCGATTTTGATATCAGGTTTTGTTCGAACACGATTATATCTTATTCGATTCGATTATTCGGTTAATAACCGAAATGACCAATCCTACAATTGTTTAATACCTAAAATCTGGAACGCAGCCAGCCGCCAAACAGACCAAAAAAAAAAGAAAACGATGGACAATAGCCAAAACATAATAGAAAAGGGCACTTGACAAATAGAACAAAACTGATAAATAAGGTTATACACCTGAAATAAGATTACAGAATGCTGAGTTATGATATATACAGAGCTCAGACAAGTAAGGGCATATCCAATTTCCAAGACTACAACAACATTTAGCAGTAATAATCCCAGAGAGACCAAAGTATACATACATAGGCGGCGAGCTATATGCTAATAAGAGTAACCAAAACTTTCTGTAACAGAAACAGGAGAGAATTCCAACAAGATGTGGAGCTCTAAAGGGTTCACCCCATCATCAATGCAGATGAGCTGATGTTGCCGAGCTGACAGAAGAGCTTATGCATTCCGACATGGGTGTCGATGCCTTCCTCTCCACGCAATACGGCGATGTGCTTGTTACCCTGCAACCAACCCTTTTCCGATCAGATTCTCTCAAGTATAAAAATCCGATTTCACTTCAAGCAGAAATGTTATCGAATTTCTATCCGTATTAGGGATGTGTATAGCAATGAGAAAGTAACACATAATACAGGAGGCAAACCTTTCTTTGCGTTTCTCCAGAAACCTAGCCAAGGATGCTTTCCGGGCCTGGGGCAAACCCACTGCAGAAGACAGAGCCAGGTTATAATTATAAGTACTGCCCTTTCAAATCCTACTAGTCATGGTAATACTGCTACTAGACGAAAATAATTGTCAATGGAGAATCGGTTGATGGCACTAACTAGCTAAAAGAATATGCAACTCATTTTACCTGCTGTAATTATGTTTGTGGGCACTGAGCAGCTCATTCTAGAGGCACCGATTTGGTTGTTGTTGGATGCGAATGACGAGCCTCCCATTGTTTTTGCTGCCCCAAGCTCACCTACAACAGCTTCAGAGCCAACGTAGGAGAAGGCAGGCACAAGGGGTGGAGGTGCCGGCAAAGGAGTAGGCAAACGAGGTGCCTGCTGTTGAGCTTGAGGTGTTGCAAGAGGTTTATTCTGCGGCACAGATGAGCCATTTCCGGCTAACAGCATTATAGCCTGAGCCTGAGACAGAGATGACGACCAAAACAATGATTATTATCAACCTTTTTTTATTGTTATCAAAAGATGGTAAGTTTGGTTATGACTCACGGTATAGGCTTTCTATTACAAACACACAAACTTGGAGAATTTTTCAACCTATTTCTTTGATTAAAATACCTCACGAAGAAAACTGTCCTAATACCCTTAATGTTGCAATCAATCAAAAACTCTGCGTGGACAAGTGAAAATATACTGAACAAGAGAGCTACCTTTTCAGGAGATATATCATCATAAACACATACTGAACCAGCATAAAAGATCGTCAACTGAGCAGGCGACCCTAATGGCTTGGAGGACGACCTGACAGAGAAAGTTAAAGTCAACTACCGGACTCGAACCGAATCACAAGATGACACGACTATCAGAGAATCCGGAGACAGTGAATACCTAATATCAGTAGTCCCAACCACAGGACTTGGAGCAGGGAGGACAGAAACAGGAGGTGCCATAATGGGGACACCACCCAGAGGTTGAGGGTTTATGGTACTGCTGATGAAGCTTTTCCCTCCAGATGTGAAATGAGACTGAAAAGCAGGGACAGTCATGGAAACTGTTATGGTTTGGTTTTGCTGGTTGGAGGTTGGGAACGTCCTCAGCTCCTGTGAACAAGAATCCATTTACGCATCAAATAATTGCTTAGACCAATTTTTTCCCAAAAAAAAAAATGAGAAGCGTCGATACAGATTCATACTCAAACTGAATCACATAAAGTCGAGTGAGATGCAAATGAATTGCCTAAAATAGGCTTTCATGGCATAAGATTTACAAGCATATTTGAATAATGCCAACACACCTGCACTGAACTGTAGGACGTCTTCCGGTTTGAGTCAAGTACATCGGCGATTGATGTTGGTACGAATGGACCAGAGGGGACCGAATGACCGTTAGCTGACTTTCTGGGCCTGTCTTCTTGAGATGGCCTGAAAGAAAGAAACTGGGGAACAGTAGAGGCTTTATTTGAGAATGCCCACTTCATTCCTCTACTTGGAGCTGCCAAAAAAGTGAATTTCATCAGTTCGAAAAAAAAAAGAATATTAACCCAGATAATCTTTGCAGCGCTTGAGAAATGTTCTTGGGCAAACCCAGAAGCTGAAGCGAGGCTTATTTTTTCTAGTAACTGTTAAAGCATATCTACCCTTCCATCCAAAAAGGAGAACTTACTCTTTCTTTCACTTGATATAATACCATAAGGCAACTGTTTCTATGCTCTCCTTAGGCTAGTTAGTTGTTATCTTATATGCTTTTACCCTCTCAAGTGGAGGAATACAAGACAGGGAAGGGCAAGAGCATTCAGAAACCATGTCTAATTTTATACTAAAAGTCATCGTAGGAATAAATTTTTATTTTTTTTAATTCAAGAAACGGGAATCTCCTTAAATCTAGAGCACATGTCGACCCACTACCTTTATGAAATGGCACGTTTCGGAATATATATAAAAAAATACAGGCTGGAATATTTAATTTCCCATTGTACCAATTGGTTTTTAATATCGAAATAACATTTTCACTTAGTCAATAAACAACCAATCTTGCTTTTATATTCAATCATACGAATCCCCATTTAAAAATACATATATAAAAATATATATACACAACTTGCATTTTTTTTCAACTGCCCACCAGCCACACGTCTCTGTTTAACCCAATTTCATCCAACATTTTAAATATTCGGTTTTAAATCAAAATATGTAGTCTAAGTTACAGTTCCCAACTACAAAAACATAAAAAGCACTATACAAGCACAAAGGTAAACAAACCAAAGCCAGCAAGTTTATAACACCAATATGTTAATAGGATTTGTAACATTAAGAAAGAGCGTACTTTTGGGGAAGAAAACCAAAACGGGTAATAAAAACACAATTCAAAGCTCAAAACACACATGCTAAAATCTTGTTGGATTTTCTGCTTGAAATGTTACATTAATTGGAAAAACTATATTTTTCCCTGTTACCCTTAATTCCATACTTTTATTCAGTATTTTCATTTTTATTTTTCAAGCAAATCGACATAACAGAGAATATTTTTCCAATGGGTAGTAAACTATGCTATTAAAGCCTGTAAAATAAAAATCGGCCACCGAGATTTACTATACAAAACAGCTAGAGATTCTTTCTCGTTAACTTGCGGTGCCTATGCGTTTTCCTGCTTTAAATGCTTGTCCCTACTACCACCCTGAAAAGTTGTACGCCTACGGCCCTCAAACGTGTTTTTCACCAGCTTTCCTAGGAAAAATAAAGTATTTTTCTCGGGACTGAAACTCTAGCGGAGTTACCAAATCCAACTTATCCTGTTAGTTTTTTTTTTTTTTTGGTAAAAAGGAAGGCCATGTTTGTTTCCCACAGAAATAAAGGAAAATATGTGTCGTTCATCCGAGAGGCAACCTAAACTATACATATCCCGAATAGTTAATTTCGAAAACACCGAAACCAAGCAAATCCTAAAGGCATAACAGATCTGGACATCGCATGGATGGAATTGAAGTACGAAAGAGCCAAATTAACCATAAGAAAACAAGAATTCAGCTAAATCGAATCGGAGAATACCTGAATCCTTGGAGCTGTCGCTGGTTTCCTCCTTCACAGTAATAGGAGAAGTTTTTGAACCCAACCCGAGAAAATCTCTCTCCATCACGCTTCAGAGAATCGAACAACACCTGTCGAACTCAGCGAAGAAAACGCAAAAACGATGCCGGAATCAAGCAGAGATATTTTCCTCGAGATTTGGCGAGAACCAACCATTCACCGGAGAAAGCGGAGACGAGAGAGTGCTTCGCCGCCGCAGAGGAGAAGAAGAAAACGGGAAAAAAGGATGTTGGAGAGAATGAAAAACGTGGAACGAACGATTTCTAAATTTTCCGCACTTTAATGTGCTTTTATCATCGCATGCGAGATCTGGACCGTCCGATTTAAAAAATTATAAAATAAATGGATTAAAGAAAATGAGAAGATTCGTTTTCTCGCAATAAAGGCGTATCCGGTTGGACGACCGGCTATAGGCGGTCAAATGCCACGTGCGTCAGCGAGCAAAGCGATAGTTGCGTGTGGAGTTCTATTGGCGGAACTGACACGTGCAGTGCATGTGAGCTTTTGTTTTTTTAATGAGCGCGTCTGCTAGCTGCCACTCATATTTTAACGTGAATGATTCACGAGAACCGAAGCTTCTATTTTTTTAAAACCTAATTTCTTTTTGTAGGCTTACGCGCGCATTGCATCGCGTGTAGTTTAGACGCGAATTCGTTGTCTCTTTGTTTGAAATCTTTTTAGTTGTGGTTTAGTAGTTGGTCATTAATATTCGTGCATTTTCAATTTTTTTTATAACGGCCGTAACCCGTCATACAGCTCTTTGAATTGGATCATGCATTGTTCCACAACTCTCGAGTCAGACAATCGGTATTATAGACAATAAACTCTCAAACCTGCACAACAGGCGGCAAACCATATAGAATAAGTAAACCATCCGCAGCTAATTGATTTAGGAAAATTTTTATATCCAGATTTTGAATCTGCAACCTCAACATGAGGAAGCTTATCATCAATCACTTGATTGGAAGACTCCTCATGCATTTTCACTTTATACCCCAAAGAATAGAAACATCTTAAGAACGCGATTCGATCCCGTCAAAATTATTTTTTTTAAAAAAAGTTAATCTTCATTTAAAAAATATGTTTTTTTTTATTTGTCCATGAACCCAAACACAGTATTAAAGCATATGATAATAATATTGAATTTAAATACGTTGAATTTTGTGGCAGTTAATTGTTTTAAAAATTTTAATTGGAAAAGCTACTAATCATTTAGTTATCTCAGTTGTTTCGAAAAAGAACAACAAAACAAAAGATATTGTTCTAAACTCTTGAATCATCCCTTATGATCTCCCAAAACTCTTTAAAACAACTTATATATCATGTAGATTTTATAAATCATTTAAACTTGTTTATTAGTCACTTCGGTATTTGAATACTGATGATAACCTATTAGTAGTGGTGGATCCAAATAATAACAATAAATAGGGGTAATAATTTTATGGGAAAAACCCCAAAAAAATTCTGAACTTACAAAGTGCGCGAAAAAAAATTTCTGAACTTGTGAAGGTGCTAAATAATTCCTAAACTTGCAAAAAGTGTCTCAATAAATCTTAATCTTGTTAAAAAGTGTCATATTAGTCCTTCGAAAAAACTGATTATAATAATATAATTTTATGTCCTACGTGGCAGGTGACATGGCATGTCAAGTGTGCTTTTTTTGCCACGTAATCAGTAACGAGTTTTAGAAAAAGGGAAAAACCCCTAAAAATTTCTGACTTTGCAATTATATTGTTTCCCCTCCATCGGCCTCCTCCTATGCTGCCGCCACTATCGCTTCCTCTTCCACTACCGGGATCCCTCAGCCGGCTCCCGACATGCTTCCCCCTCCTCCTCTGCCGTCGTTGCTTCCTCTTCAAAGGGTTGTGACCATGCCGGAGGTCAAGGCGAGATCTGGTGGTCTATCGGGTGGTAGGTTGGACGGTGCGATAATTGAGGAGGATGGAGCCCTAGATGACGAGGATGAGGACTCTAAATTGGAGAATCGTGAGAGGTTAGTGAGGAAATCGAGCAGTTGGGGAGGGAGTAGCAGAGATCAAAGGATGGAGAAAACCCAGGAGACTCCTCCCCCGCCGCCGCCATCTGTAGATCCACTGGAGACAAGAACATCGACATCGCCGTCACAACTACAACACCAGCATCAACAACCTTACTTCGATTATTTCTTCCCCGTCTTCGAGGGCACGTCAGGAACCACGCTGGAAGAAAACCCACCTCTCCCACCGCAGTCTCAGACGGAACCACCGTGATTTCTCCTGTTTCTCATAACAGAATCGCCGGCGATTCTGAAAAAACCGGTTTTCTAAAACCCAGTACTGATTACATGGCAAAAAATCACACTTGGCATGTCATGTCACCTGTCACGTAGGACATAAAATTATATTATTATAACTAGTTTTTTCGAAGGACTAATATGATATTTTTTTAACAAGATTATGATTTATTGAGACACTTTTTGCAAGTTTAGGAATTATTTGATACCTTCACAAGTTCAGAAATTTTTTTTCTCGCAGCACTTTGCAAGTTCAGAAATTTTTAGGAGTTTTTTCGTTTTATTTTTTTTTGTTAATCATCACAAGACATTTGTTATGGGGGCATTTTGTAATTTGTTTAAAAATTTATAAAGAAATTAATTTTTTTTTCTAAAATGACAAATGTGTTCTTGTGCGACCCCATTCATCCCTAATAGTCGTTTGAATAAATCATAAAAGAAACTCTATAAAAATTTGACTGGATTGGTTTAAAGGGAAAAAAAACCCACGTGTATAATGATAAATGCGAAAATGGTTTTAAGATAAGGCCATGTGAGACATGGAAAGAGAACAATGATCATCCCCACTTTTCTTTCCCACCCACTATTTATTATTATTATCATTATTATTATTATTTATTATTTTGATAAATATTTGTTATTATTGTTGTTGTTGAACGTTTCACAATTTTAATAAGGATTAAAACATATAAAATACCTGAATTTTTATAAAATTTTTAAATAAATACTTGAAATATAAAACTTCCAAATCAATACCTGAACTTTTCAAAATTTTCATATAAATATCCAAATACAACAATTTTTGTTGACGACATTAATCAACGAAGTGATCGGATTCCGTTATTGGTTGTATTTGAAAGTTTTTTAAAAGTTTGGGTTTAAAAATTTTATAAAAGTTCAGATATTTATATGCGATTATTTTTTTAATATTAATTTTAATATTAATTGCTCTGCCATCACGATCTAATCAAGGAAATAAACAAAACAAGTGTGTGTATATATATACGACAGCTGTGGTCCGTTGACATCTCCAATGGATATTTAAATCAAACACATGTGAACCATACAAGCAAAATGACGTCATTTTGTGCGTCACGCTTGTATTTAATTAGACATAAATGTAATCTCCGAACAAGATATATTTTCAAGGTTCATTGAAATCCCATGACCGCCGGTCCATGCCGAATTAGGAAAAGTCGTTTTCTCAGCCGGGGCATACGTACCCACCTTAATCCCGTTTTGCAAGATGTTCATATAAACACGATATTAAAATAGAAAATTTTTATAATAAATATATCGATTTGTTAATTTCTTATTGATAAATAAATGAATTTATTTTATCTCTAAAAAAACATATCAATTTACGATTTTCTCCTAAAATTCTACACAAACTCTAACGACATTAACTACCTACTGGCGGTGGTGGTGACGTGATTTATTGGATTTTTTACGTTAGCATCACAATGGTAAAATTTTCCATATCATTAAAAAATTTAAAAAAAAAAATTCATGCGTATCATTGAAATGATGTTTTCAATTATTTAGCAGGGAATTCGTTGAAATATAATTTAAAGTTGCAAACGTTGACAAGCTCTCCGACATTGTCTAATTCCATCCGAATGCATGTGTAAATTGGACCCACAATACTTTCGAACATATATATAGATATCAATATTATCATCATGCATTCAAAGTGTATATATATATATATATATATGTGTATTTTTTTTTGAAATATACATATATAACAATTTCCGTTCAGTTCGAGTGTTTGCCCAGCAACCCGAAGAAAAAGATATGTTTTTCCTATGTGTTATATATATAATAAAAATGTGTAGCACGTTGGTCTGACCAACTACTCGAACGTTCCTTCCGATCCAATTTATGAAGAAAACTGAGCCGACCGCCATGCACGACCATGAAAACCAATTATCATTTCTTTAAAAAAACATTAAAATAATGAAACTACAGGTGGGTTCTTCAAATTTATATATATATATATATATAATTATATATATATATATATATATCATCTTCATTTTTCATCATACTCTAAAAAAATGTTTGTATATACAATTTGATGTGAATACAGCATTAAAAAAAACCCCATTTAATTTAATTAACTTGAATTTGAGGTTCCTTCCTGAGTAGAGTAGTTGCATTGCAACTTTTATATACGAGTCTGTATACTCGATACTCACATTAATAATATATTATTTTTTACTTATATTTGTTGCCTATCTCTACATCAACACTGCGAGATAAAATAAATCACGATGTATTTTCTTTGGTAAAATCACGATTAATTTGTTAAAAAAAAATTAAAACTTACCACATATATAATGTAAGAATCAATACTATATTCCATAATCAATCGGTAGTCAAAATGTGGTAAAGGAAACAAATTAGTATTCACAATATATA